CTCCCAACCTCTCTATTTCATTGTACTTTGTTATGCTGGTGAGTGTATTTTATCTTTGAATGTTTTACAGTGTCTACTTTATGATCAGGAGAGAGTTAGCTAGTTAGAGGTAAAAAAAATCACCTGGACAGTTGTTATTTATAAACCCTTTTACAGTATACCCTCACCATGTGAGAGTGATCAACGTTTTACCAGTAAGAAGTCTGTAGCTAAGAAAATTACTCTAGTTTAACCATCTAGGTACCTTAATTCTTTTGACTTAAAATCCCATTCTGTTTTGCCCTTTTGTCTATGAAATTCCAGGTGTTAAACAAATTTAGCACTAAGGAAAACAGAGTTGAGAGGATAAAATATACTTGGCTTTCATTCAGAAATTATTAATTTGTTAAGTAACTGTACTATTTATCTCATTGACTGGAAAGGTTGCTATCAACCAACACTGAGATTATTGGCCAATTATAAACATGGACTACAGCAATGGTTTATAACAGGACTTTAATATTTGTAATATGATTATATAATTTCCTTGCTTTTAGAAATGTACACTGAAGTATTCAAGGGTAATTGGCCACGATAATTGTGACCTACTTCAAAAAGGCTTAGATGGGCAGAGTAAATGTGGTAACATGTCAACAACACACGAAACTAGTTCATAAAGGAGTACTATTTTTGCAAATCTTCCATTCAGATTTTCAAGTTATTTCATAACAATAAAGTTGAAGAAAAAAAAAAGACACTGAGGGTTTACCAAATGCCAAGAAGGCATTCTGATAGATATTTGGGATATAAAGATGAACGGGATGCAAAGACAGGTAATTTCAAGACTCTTTAATCTCCCCTGTGAAAACAGGAAATTAAACAGGAATTCTAAAATGTTGTCACAAGTGCTACAACCCAAGGAGCTCTATTCTGCCTTTTCCTAAGGTTCGGCCTATTCCCTGCCTCACCTGCCCTCCCAAAGGATAGTAGGGGAGTCTCCACCTTCGCATGTTGCCTTAAGGCTAAGCCTTGTGATTATTCTTAGTCACAGTTTTTCCTATGGGATGGACCATCAAAATAATTATGCTTTCAGGCCATTGCTGATGGCCTGTGACCTACATTTGCTGCCGAAGAAGAATCTCAGAACACTCAACATATATGCGGGCAGATTAAGATTTTAACTATGGGGTGTAGTTTTCTGGACAGTCAACACCAACTAGCCTATAAATCCCGGTGCCTGACTCTCAAAGAACTATTCTGGTCACCCAAGAAATTCTAGCATCTCACTCCAGGGTTTTCAACGGGGCAGGGAAAAGGAATGGCTCTATAAAGGAGCATTCAGAATCACTGTCTGCAGGAGACAACCAATGTGGTCCCTCTACCACTGTACCCATTAGGAGTCACTGCGCATAGGAAGGCTGCTGTTCAGAGCAGTGTGTAGTGATGTGGAAGAGGACAGGGCAAAATACAGTTTGGCCCTCACTGATCTAGTCTAAAGTTCTCATTTTACAGCTAGGAAAAACTTTTCCCAAGAAAGGTAAAATGGCTTTACCAAGATTTTGCAATTAATACGCTGAACTATATGAAATTGACATTTTTTTAGGTTAGAAAGTAGCAAAGGAAGGGTCTTTCCAACACACAATGCTTTTGGCTTGATATACAAAACAAAGTAGTTTCTGGAAGGTTCTCCAATGGCTGGTTCTCTATTTTATTTATTTTTTAATTTTTAAAAATGTTTTTATTTATTTTGGAGAGAGAGAAAGAGACAGAGTGAGAGTGGGGGAGGGGCAGAGAGCGAGGAAGACACAGAATCCGAAGCAGGCTCTGGGCTCTGAGCTGTCGGCACAGAGCCCGACGCAGGGCTCAAACTCACAAACCATGACTTCATGACCTGAGCGGAAGTTGGATGCTCAACCAACAGAGCCACCCAGGTGCTCCCATCCTCTGTTTAAATTAAAACATTTTCTTGGCAGTCAGGGCCATCACATATGGTCATACTCATTGCGCAGGGCACAGTTTCAGGAGGCACTGTTTACATATTCTATAATGCAAAAGGCAGAATTTTCACATCTTACATTAAAAAACAAGTTAACGGCCATACTCTTTTAAAACTTGTTTCTTTTCCTAGATATCTGATATCAATATCCATTAATTATTTCTATCCCCATTTCTTGATACTGACTTACCTTCCACATCTCCTCAACTTCCTTCCTTTATGGCTTCTCTTTTCTACAGTTTCTCGTGGACTACTCGTTGTCTTTGACCGCCAACTTATTCTCCTCACATAGCTCTATATTCCTTCTCTCCTTCTCTTTAATAAGGATCATCTCACTTTCCTTCATTCTCTTTTCTCTGTGAGCTATGTCATCCAAATGATTCTTTGTTCAACCTAAAGTTAAATTACCCACCAATTTGTGATTGTAAGATAGCTCATATCCAAAGCAGAGAAACCAAAACACAAAACGAGTAACATTAAGAGTGGGCTCTCTTTTCTCCTCAAATATTTCGGAATATGTAGATGACTTTGATCTTTTATCTTTTTTATTTCTGTATTTCACTCTACTTTTAAGTTAAACCACTAGAATTTTTTTTTTCAGCAAAAGTAGGACCAACCAATTTGATGTTTTATTGATTTTGAAATACCATGCTTTCTCAGATTTTACATGCTATGCTTTGATGGCATGGCTGTGGGGTTCTATATTTCAGCATAAAGCCTTAGTAATACTCTTGGGGATGGAAGGTCTGCTGCTCTTTTGTTGTTGCTGTTTGTTTATCATTTTTTTTTTCCTGACTAGGAGGAAGTCAATATAAATAGATATATGCATTTTATTACAAGTTACCTACTACAGGAGGGAAATAGTACTGTCAGACACAGTTTATTTATTTTCCCTTTTTTTCCCCTTCCTTTCATCAAGATCCAGCATAGATACCAACATTTGGAAAGAATAAACATTGGGGAAATAAAATAACCATGATATCCATATATATATCCATATATATATCCGTGTGTGTGTGTGTGTGTATATATATATATATCCATGTGTTTGTGTGTGTGTGTATATATATATATATATATATATATATATATAATAGCTGCAAAATTTCCCTTATGCATTGCTGCAGAACTTTATGGCAGTTTTTGTTTAAGCTCATGGATTTATTAGAAGTTACTAATTGGATGTTCAGTTCCAATGCCCTATTTTGGTACGAATTTTATCTACATTCCATTGACTGATGAAAACCACATTTTCTTAGCATATCTACTTTAGCAGCAGGACTCAAAATGTCATAGGAAAGAAAAAAGAGTGCTAGCAAGGACTTTGCCTACAAGGAGATTTCCTTTGGCATGCTGTTCAATAAGATACAGATTAAGATGGCCAGACATCCTGGATTGTCCATTCCAATTTTAATTGAATTCACTTTACAAATAGCGTTTTTTTTTAATTGAAGTGTAGTTGACACACAACGTTACATTAGCTACAAATGGTTTTTTAATGGTCTAAAAATTATGAGACAGTGAACTGGACTCAGCAGGAGATAAACAGATGGGATATACTTCTTCCCATAAGTAGTCTAGTTTGATTGGGTTTGGAGGTGGCAATAAAACTTGTACATATGTGACTATTACAGGAGACAAAGTGAATGGGTTTTGTAAAAGGGCTATCCGTTCAGTGCTATAATGTAAAGAGCCCAAATGGGAGGGGATGGCATTCTTTAAGAACCACGGGGGTATTATTCAGTCTTCATGGAAGGAGCTATCTTTGAAATGAACATTGGAAGAAACGAAGTTTACACAAAGTGAGAAAGACAGGCGTATCAGGAGGAGGGAAAAGTGTGAACCAAATGCAGGTCTAATTTTGCCAGCAATTGGGGGTTTATGAAGGCTTTTGAGAGAAATTGCAGTAGTGTTTTAGACAGAAATGTAACAAAGGCTTAATACACATCCCTGTATAATCTAGACCCAACCTACTTATTTACTCTGCCATTTTTCTTTCTCTGCTAAGACAATAAGTAGAACCTTGGAAAATTCCAAAACTTAAGGCATGGACATAGGATTATAAGTAGAAAAAAAATGGCTGCGTAAAAACGAAACTATAAGAAAAATACTTAGGGAGTAAGCTAAGAGAAAACGATATAAGGAGCACCTCTCAGCTTCTGAGCTTAGCATAATCTTGATACCAAAACTTGAAAAGTACAGTAAGAAAGAACATTACAGGCCAATGAAGTAAAAAATTCTGAATGAGTTAGATGTAACTGGAACCTAGGTACTTATAGAAAGAAAAATGACCAAGTAAGGTTTATTCCAACAATGCAAGGATAGTTTAAAGTTTAAAAATTGAGTACTGTAATTCATCACAGTAATAAAGGTAAAAACCATAATGATATGATAGTATTAATAGATGCAAAAGAAATATTTGATAAAATTCAACACCCACTTATAATAAAAACTCTCAGCAAACTGGAAATTGGAGGGAACTTTCTTAACACAACCAAGGATATCTATAGTTTAGAGGCTTTTGCTACAGGCTTTCATGGAATGATGTGGTGGCTCAAACGAAGGAATGAAGAAGTGGGGGACTCCGTGTAAACTGGTTTTTTTACAAGGCTTAGCTATGGTGGGAAAAGGAGAACAAGCAAGATAGTTCCAAGATATTAGGAAGGTTATTTTTTTTTAATTTTATTTATTTTTGTTACTTTGAAAATGGGGAAAAAATTGACCTACTTATGATTTCCTAAATAGACCATGCCCTTTTACTTCTTGTGTTTTACCTGTTGTATATATTTGGGTGCTGAAAAGAAAGAGGTGCACACAAAATATTTAACTGGAGAGAGCGCAGTAGGGACTATTTACAAAAGGGTGGGAAAGGTCAGGGAAACCAACCAAAGATATTGAGCTACATAAGGTACATACTGGAAAGTTGTTACCAGAAACCAGTGAGCATTATAGCCATGAGAATGAGGTGGCCTGACAAAATTACTACTCTGAGCTCTCTTTCTTCCCACCCTCCACTAGCCTCCAGGAGTCACCATTGGCTGACCCCAGCAGAAGCCAGGAGGACGAGAAAGCCTGGGTAATGCAGGTCATAAAGAGATGGGCAGAAGGGAGATCTAGAAACGCAAATTAAAAATAACTAGCAAACACATGCTATTCTCTAATTGTAATGCCCTTCCCTATTTTTTATCTGTCAAAATCCTGATCACTCAATTCATGAGGAACATTCTCTGTGGAATTACAGTGCTTCCCAACAAAGAGAACTGGTCTTTTCTCTTATATGAATGCATGCATCTGTGGAAAGAATATTTATTCATGCAAACATGTGACAGACACAGTAATAATATGTATTATTTGCCTACTTTATTTCTAAAATCTTTTAAGGTAGATAGTATATCTAGGCTTAGCAGGTTGAGCAAGCTGTCCACATGTACAGAGCTGGTGGTTGGCAATTTTGCTGATTCCATACTGCCTCCATCACTCCATACTCCCATGGTGCTTTGTGTATGGATCAGATGGAGCACTTTAACATTGCATTTGTTAAAATTAAAGCAAGAAAAACATATATGTAGCACATGATGATCTCAAAATGTCAATAGAAAGGCACCTCATCATGGTACCTTTCATCACTGGGAAAGTGTGAGCTTCTCTGAGACAAGGAGCTCGGGCTAGGTTCAGACTTGGTATCTGTCCAGTGACAGATGGAATGACAGCAAAGTATGGAGCTCCTAGTTCCGTATATTAGGCAGGTCTGTTTTTGTTGCAAATGATAGAAATCCTCCTGAAAGTACTTCAAGCAATAAAAGACAAGGTATTAGTCCATATGGTTAGGAAGTCCAAAGTGAATCCAGTTTAAATAAGAGTTCAATGATGTTTTCAGGGCTTCTCTTTCCCTATCTCTTTAGCTTTTCCTTGTCTATTGGCTCAATTTTCCCCTTCTGACAAGTTCTCTGTACTGTCATTGACAGCCTTAGGTTTATATGGCCCTGTCTTAGCACATCCAGTTGAATGAGAACTGCTTTCCAATATCCCCTTATCAATTTAAGAAGGCATCTGTTTTGCCTTGCTTATTTATTAAGTGCTCACCCCAGGGCCAATTACTGTGATAGGAAAGTTTGTCACAATAATTGGTCATGCATGGGTTACACGTTCACCACAAAGAATGAGGGAGTATTTGTAGAATGTTAGAAAAATAATGAGATTTAATGGGAAATGTGCTGGGTAGTCCCGAAAAATAGCTATCACAATCCTTACTGGCTCTCCTTATCAAATCTATTTTCAAATTAAATACATTCTTCTTTCAAAGCATCGTTTGTTTGGTTGGTTTGGTTTGCATTCCAGATCCTCCATCAATCTTCTCAGGAAATAATTAGCGTGATTCCAATTATTACGATGATTAGAACTATGGTATTTTCACTCTTGTGAAAAATCCTTCTTACCATGGTTAATTTGGCACAACGAATCTATATTACAGCTTACCCATGTGGTCACTCTAACAAGCATAGGAATGGCTTCATACAGAAAGATGTGTTAGATTAATCTTCACTTTCTTTCAGAGGACTCTCAGTCATTGATGTGCACCGAGAACTTACACTACTTTTCTCCTCTGTCTACTGTATCGATATTGTTTACATGTTTTGAGTCAACAAGAATCTGATGAAAGCTGAGGACCTACTCCCTAGAAAAATGCGCATATAAACATAACATGGATTTTTAAAATGGAATCCTGGGGTATTCACGAATTTCTGATGTGGAGAGCAACTTAGGACATGGGGGAGAGCAAAGTAGAGGTCCACCCAGAGAGTTGGTGCCTTAGCCAAGTAGTATGCAAATCTGTTGGCTTCATTCTGCAAGCTTTCAGAATGTTTTGCAGAGGTGACGCATACCGGATTTGCATTTTAATTGCATTACTTTGTTTATAGAGAAGAAATGAATTTGAGGTTATGGAAAAGGCAGGTACAAGAGAGATCAGTACAGAGACTGGCTGAACTTGATAATTTACAGCAAGTGGGTCTAGGGTAGAAGAACTCCATGATGCATCTCCATTTCCCAGATGGATTGTGGTGGCATTAACCGAGAACAGAAGTATCGGTGGGGAGCTGCATTGGCAGGTTATGATGAGCTCTATCATAAATCCCTGCAATTTAAGGTGTACAAAGTAAGGTGGGACAGTTGGCTATGCAGGATAGACGGTCACAATGATACTCTGGAATCATCATGTAGAACAATGCCTCTTAAACATTAGCATGCTTGAGAATCACTTGGAGGGCATGTGGAAATGGGTGGCCAGACCCCATTTCTAGAGTTTTTGATTCAGTAGATCTGTAGGGAGGCTAGAGAATATGCATTTCTAATAGTTTCCCAGGTAATGCACATGCTGTTGGTCTGGAGACCACAGTGGGAGACACCAATGAAGATGATTTCTATTGTTGGGAATTTCTGCCTGACTTTCTGTCTTCTTGTAAGAGCATCCTTTCAATACCTCTCCCCTGCAAACTTCCTTTGGAAGATTGCTCCTCACTTATGCCAACCATTCTATTTTTGGTTTTCTGCTACTATTCATTCATGTGTGATTACACATGAAACTATCTATGTAGAAAACCAATTTCATTGAAACATTGACTAGAATGGTGGTTGCCAAGAGCTGGGGGCAGGGGGAAATAGGGAGATGTTGGTCGAAGGGAAAAAACTTCCAGTTATATTATGTGTAAGATCTGAGGATCTAATGTACAGCATGGTGACTTTAGTTAATGGTACGGTATTACTAATTGTATACTTGAACGTTGCTGAGAATAGATCTTAAGTGTTCCTACCACGTGTGCACGTGCACACACACAGACACACACACGTTAACTATGTGAGATGATGGTGTGCTAATTATCCTTACTTTGGTAATCCCACTCAATCTGTCTATCTCAAATCATTATTTTGTACGCTTTAAATATACACATTTATACGTCAATTATTCCTTAATAAAGCTGGAAAAAATTGTAAAGAAAATGAGACCACCACACAGAGAGAAGAAAGAAAAAAGGAATAAAGGGAAGGAAAATGGAAGGAGAAAAAAAAAGAGAAGAGAAAACAAAAACAAGAAAGAGTAACAAGAGTAACAATCTTTGAATCCTGTCTTTTCCTAAAGTTGGGTCCAACACTTGCTTTCTCAATTACTTGAACAATAAATTCCCTTCCTCTCTTTAGCCAGGTACAATGTGATCTTGTCACTTTCTATGAAAACAATCTTTATACACTTTATTTATTTATTTATTATTTATTTTGAGAGAAAGAGAGAAAAGGAGAGAGAGAGCGAATGCACAGGAGCAGGGGAGGGGCAGAGAAAGAGGGGGAGAGAGAGAGAATCCCAAGTAGGCTCCACTGTCAGTGCAAAGCCTGACACGGGGCTCGATCACACGAACCGTGAAACTGTGGCCTGAGCCTAAATCAAAAGTCAGATGCTTAACCAATGGAGCCATCCAGGCACCCCTAGTCTTCTTCTATTTTTTTTGAAGACTTTTTGAGATTCCAATTCCCACATTATATATATTCAGGTTAGTAAAGCAAATTGGTCAGTGTTCCTTCTCTAAAAAATTCAATATTATGTATATTAAAATAAAATCGACAGGGGCGCCTGGGTGGCGCAGTCGGTTAAGCGTCCGACTTCAGCCAGGTCACGATCTCGCGGTCCGTGAGTTCGAGCCCCACATCAGGCTCTGGGCTGATGGCTCAGAGCCTGGAGCCTGTTTCCGATTCTGTGTCTCCCTCTCTCTCTGCTCCTCCCCCGTTCATGCTCTGTCTCTCTCTGTCCCAAAAATAAATAAACGTTGAAAAAAAATTTTTAAAAAAATAAAATAAAATCGACATAATACAAATTTTCTTTTCATACTTAAATTCGTGCTCTTGTTGCCACAACTTTCATGGAGACCACGGCTGTGTTGTAAGGCATTTTGTTGATTTGGTTATCTTGGCATAAACACTAATCTAGTTAGAAACGTAGATGTTGGTAGATTTAGCCTGTGGCATATGTGCTGGAACGGGCAGCGTTTAATAGCATCTTCTCTGATGGTGGTGTTGTTATTGCTATTGATTTAGAGGGAGACATTCAGACCTCTATCCTGTATTAACTTTGCAAGCAGCACTGATTAACATGTACAGTTGTTCTGACTATATTTTCCGGTAGTACAATGACATTAATAGGAATGAGATCACCTGAGGCGCATTAATTAATACTTAAGAGAAAAAATTTAACCTATTTGCCCTCTTCATTCCCTCAACTGGATAGATGATAGGTTTCCATGAATAAAATTTAGCGTGCTGCTGTGCTGTACGCAATGTGAATTACCTTCTTCTCGGCGCCAAAGAAATTTAGTGAAACATGCAAAACCTTCAGATAGTACCAGATCTTATTTTTGGTTTCCTTGAATTCTTCCTCTGGTGTGCTTGTGGTGTTTAAAGGGATTTTAAAGCACTCGGCTTTTTGTGGAAAAGAAAACCTTAGATTGACAATGACCTGAAAAAGTTTCCCCTACTGCTTATACTACTGACTATGTAAAACTGTTAATACAGATACAATTACTGTTAATTCCTCCTGGCTGTTATGGCCTCCCCAAGATCTTGCTGACAGTTGAAGAAGAAGGATGAATGCTTAATATTTATCTTGTTCAGATAGAATATTTCTGATCCTAAGAAAAATACTGGAATATTACCTTTGGATGAAACCTACTATCCCAGTGACAAACAGGAACTTAATAATCTACCATTACTGAATGAAGATAACAAATGACATTTCACTTATTTTCAAGACACCATTTCACAGAAGCTCTGGAGGGAGGGGATATTTTATGTCCACAGTAACAAAAAAAAAACACAAAAAAATCAAGAATTGGGTACAAACCCTGAAGCTGTTTTTCTCTGTAATACTTTATTAAGTTACAGATGGGTAAAGAACTACCAGGCTTGCTTAATTTGTGGCCCTGGCTTCTCGTTAGGAGTGAGGACAGACACCTCACCTTTCCATGATGTAGCACGAACAGGGACCTTACTTCATTTGTTAGCTGAGTAGAACTTGAACAGAGTTTTTTTTTTTTGAAAATACAAAACAGAGTCTCCCACTGAGCGAACCTCATTTTCTAAGATTCTACCATTGCCCTCACCA